CTGCTTCTCAGTACTCTGGAAAGGTCCCTGACCACAGATCATAAGACCTAATGCAATTTGTCTTTTGATTTCCTGACTGCTGGTGCCAAGAGTGTTGACTATGGAGCCAAGCAAGCTGTAATTGCTAACAACCTCAATCTCCTCTCCAACTATCATGGTACTGCCAATTGGCACAGAGGTGAGAAACTTTGTCTTCTTGATGTTGCACTTCAATCCATATTGAAGACTACACTCCTTGACCTTCTACAGCAAGCACTTCAAGTCCTCCTTAGTTTAAACAAGTAAGGTTGCATAATCTGCATAATGTAGGTTGTTGATGAGTCTTCCTCCAATCCTGATACCACATTCCTCCTCATAAAGCCCAGCCTCCTGAATGATCTGTTCTGCATATAGATTGAAAAGGTATGGAGACAGGACAAATCCCTGATGGACTCCCTTCCTGATTTTGAACCATACAATGTTTACCTGCTCTGTTCTGATGACTGTTTTCTGGTCCACCTATAGGTTTCGCTTAAGTGTTCTGGGATTCCTAGTCTCAAGATTAACCACAATTTGTTGTGATCCACACAGTCAAATGCCTTTGTACAGTCAATGAAACACAAATAGATATTCATCTAGTACTCTTTGCTTTCTGCTAAGATCCATCTGACATTGGAAATAATGTCTCTAGTCAAACTGACAGTAGCAACTTTAAAGACATGAGTTTCCGTTAATGGGGGAGGGGAAAATCAATAAAGGAGAGTGAGACTGTACAATTCAAAGAATTTAATCAATGTCATTAGATGGTAAAGTACAAACTGAGGAATTCATGTTTTGTTATGTATAGTCTCAACAAATTAAGTTTTTAAAAGTATTACATGGAAGACTGACTGACTGGAGGCATGGGAGGCGAGCAAGATGGCATAGACTCTGGGCACCAAGAGGAAGGTCTGTTAATTCTACAATGCACCCTCACAAAGCCAATGCTGAGGAGATGACCAAGTACCACAGTGATGGCTACATTAAATTCTTTAGTTCCATTCACCCAGAAAACATATCTGGGTACTGCAAGCATATGCAGGGATTCCGTGTTGGTGGGGATTGCCTGTTATTTGATGGCTGTTTGAGTTCTGTCAGTTATCTACTGATGACTGTTGCAAGTGTTGTGAAGCTTAATAAGCAACAGATGGGCACTGCTAAGATTTGGGCTGGGGGCCTTCACTATGCAAAGAAGTCTGAAGAATCTGGCTTCTGTCAATGATACTGTCTTGACAATCCTGGTACTGCTAAAGCATCACAGATGCAATATACAGAGGGTGCTGTATATTGACACTGATATTCACCATGGTGATGGCGTGGAAGAGACCTTCTATACCACAGACTGGGTCATCACTGTGTCCTTTCATAAGTATGGAGAGCACTTCCCAGGAACAGGGGACTTACAGGATAGTGGTGCTAGCAAAGGCAAGTATTATGCCGTTAACTTCTCACTCCAAGGTGGGATTGATGATGAGTCCTATGAGGCCATCTTCAGGCTGATTATATCCAAAGTAATGGATATGTTCTAACCCAGTGCAGTCGTCCTAGAGTGTGGCTCAGACTCCCTCTCTGGGGATCGATTAGGTTGTTTCAATCTGACCATCAAAGGGCATGCCAAGTGTGTGGAATTTGTGAGGAATTTCAAGCTGCCGATGCTGATGCTAGGAGACGGTGGTTATACCATTCATAATGTTGCCCGATGCTGGACTTATGAAACAGCTGTGGCCCTGAGCACAGAAATTCCTAATGAGCTTCCATACAATGACTACTTTGAGTACTCTGGACCAGATTTTAAACACCACATCTTCCAATATGACCAACCAGAACACAAATGAGTACTTGGAGAAGATCAAAGACTATCTGAGAACCAAGGAAGGCTGCTTCATACACCCGGAGTTCAAGTTCAGGCAATTTCTGAGGATGCCATCCCTGAGGAAAGTGGTGATGAGGATGAAGACGAGCCTGATAAACACATCTCAATCTGTCCCTCTGACAAATGAACTGCCTGTGAAGAAGAGTTCTCTGACTCTGATGAGGAGGGAGAAGGTGGACTCAAGAACTCTTCTAACTTTAAAAAAGCCAAGAGAGACAAAATAGAGGATGAAAAAGAGAAAGACCCAGAAAAGAAGAAAGAAGTCATAGAAGAAGAGAAAAACAAGGAGAAGCCTGAAGCCAAAAGTGTCAAGGAGGAGGTCAAGTAGCTTGAGCAGACCTCGCTAACTCTGGCTTCATGCAAAGTTCCCCACTTTTCATCTTGACCCCTCAAGAGTTTATATCTTCTATTTCTCTATGTATTTACATAAAAGTATATTAAATACAAGTGAGCTCTGGTGGACTAGTGGCAAGAAGCTGCACTGTAATCCCAGAGGTGTGCAGTTTGAGTCCACCACATTCTTTGCTAGAGGAGAGACAATCTCCTCCTGTACCAGTCAGATCCAATTTGATAGTACACATAAAAAAATAACAAAATTTAAAACATATTTACAAAAAAGTATTTTTTAAAAAACAACGATAAGTTAATCATCTCACCTCAGTAAGAATAGCAAAATTTAACTGAACAGCAAGCAACACATGCTGGCGAGGTTGTGGAGAAACTGGAACCCTTATTCACTGTTGGTGGGAGTGTAAAATGGTGCAACCACTGTGGAAGGCAGTGTGGTGTTTTCTCAAAAAGTTGCAAATAGAGATACCATTTGACCCAGCAATTCCACCACCGGGAATATACCCTAAAGAGACCATAACTGCCACCCAAGCAGATATATACACACTCATGTTTATCGCAACTTTGTTCACAATAGCAAGGAATTGGAAACAACCTAAGTGCCCATTAACCAACAAATGGATAGAGAAGCTGTGATATATTCACACAATGGAATACTACGCTGCATTGAAAAACAAGGAAATCATACAATATTATTCAAAATGGGTGACTCGGGAGGACATTATGCTGAATGAAGTATCTCAGTCACAAAAGGACAAATACTGCATGGTGCCACTGTTGTAAAGCAGCACTGACATCGGGGTTAGGGGGGCGACTGATAAAGACGGGTTCAATAATGTATATGGCACTGAAACAGATGAGGGAGAAAACTGTTTAAGAGGGATATGTTATTAGGTATTTTTGTCATGACAGGAGTCCAGAGTGAAGGCAGCATAGTGAAGTGGACCTAGGGGGAGGGATTATAAAACAATTGAAGAATTTTTCTTTTACTTTTCCAAGAGGGTAGCGTACTTGGGGGAGAGGAGAGTTGGGAGGGGAGAAAAGTGCAACAATGAATGAATGGAAATCCAAAGTCTATAAATTTTCAATGAAATTAATAATAAATTTTTTAAAGGGGAAAAAAATAAAAGGTAACTTTAATTAATAAATCCTTGAGCATACAAAATTCTAAAAAAAATAATTTTTTTAAAAAAAAAGTATATTAAATATAAATATCCCCGGGGACTAGACCAGAACAAGGGCCCTAGCCCTGCCCAGGGCACTCTGCTAAGTGCATTCTAGTTGCTGCCTTTTCAACAAGACACAGGACTGAATCCTGAACTGCACAGTGCCTGTGTCTTTTCAGAAAGGTACCTTTATAAAGGTACATCCTAGGATGCGGGTTCTGGGCCCTCAGGGATTCCTGGTTCTTTTCAGGCTCTTTCAGGTAACATTAGCCACTTCAGATCAGTTTCTTTCTCATACCTTTCCTCCACTGCAGCCTAACCCCATGTGAGCCAAGAAACTCTCACTGCCTGCCCCCTGAGCTCCCCCAGAGCTGCTGGTGGAGTATGACAGTCTAGTTTCTTTTTTTCAGATACTATTTTCATGTTTGTGATAATCTTGATAATAAAATGTTGCTTTTCTAATAATAAAAAAGTATTACATGTAATGAAAGAATTATACTAATAATTTTCTTTTCAAAAGTGGCAGAGGTCAGGAAGAAGCATTAACATGTCAACATTGACAGTTTGTAAAAAACTGGTCTGTCCCCAAGCCATTATATAGCAACCAAGTACGTTGAAGTCTTCTGCATTATTCTTTCTCACAGTATTACCCAAACAACAAAGCAAAGGAAGAATAAAGACTGAGTGGCTGTTGTTATGTGCCACAGAGTCAAAACTGACTCATAGCTGACCCTCCCCAATGGGTTTTCAGAGGCTGTAAAAATGCACCACAGCTAATGTTCATTTCTCTCCCACAGAGAAGCTACTGGATTTAAATTCATATACTTTTGGGTTGGCAACACAACTCCTTACCCTCTAGGCTGCCTATGCTCCCTAAGTGACTTGGTAAGTGACTTAAATAGGAGCCCTAATGGCTGTGAAGTTACGTGTTCAGCTGCCTGATGATAGGTCAGTGGTTCAAAACAACCAATCAGTCATTCAGTGAGAAAAAGGTCTGCTCCTGTAAAGATTTACAGCATCGAAAACCCTATGGGTCAATTACAACCTGCCTCACTGGGTCACTAAGAGTCAACATCAACTCTACAACAGCGGTTAAGTAAACAAAATAACAATCAACATTTGGGGGGAAATCACAAAAATCATTAAGAACTATTTAAAATTTTATAATTAGAAATAATGCTAGTAGAAAAAATAATGCTACTAATTACTTAATTATTTCATACACAAATAAATACACACATAAGTACTGACGATTACAGAATAATGTATAAAATTTGGGTGAGTTTTTTTTTTCCTCTCAAGGTAATGGGATAAAGAACAGAATATTTTAAAGAGTGTCTCAAGAGGACCTACCTTTTTAAATTGTTTTCACATTTCAAAGTTATTAATAATAATTACATTAGAAAACACGTAAGTTGATGTATGAAGAAATAAAATGCTACTAGTAAAATGATCACTCTCTAGTCATACTCAAAATAGAATGAGTATGACTACTCAAAATGATCACTCTCTAGTCACAACTCAAACAGAAATCCATTTGAAAACATCCACCTAGATTAAGGCCAACATATAAATTAATCTCTAATACAACTTACTTCCTAGCAATAGTGGTCACTCGGATACGTCTCTGTCCACTTGAATGCTGATACTGAGTCACAAACTGGATTGCACCACGCCCTCCCTGAGGAATTGGAGCATTATGCTGTACAAAAACAAAGGGGTAACAACTAAAGAAAAGCTACTATACTGTTGTCATAGCCTCCTAGCACTAACAAAATTCCCCCTAAATTGACTTGAAAGATATTTATTTCCTGTGCATACAAAACCATTGTGATTTTCCACATGAAAGGAGGAAAAAAGTATTTGGGAGAGAAGAAAAATAATGAAAGATGAGAGATGTGATTCAGCCAGGGGGTACCAATTTCAAGTAATTGACAGTTTAATCAAAGGGACATGTAAGAACAAAGTGAAGGCAGGAATGTAAAGATATCAGACAACGAAATGCCTAATACTTCAGGTAATTTAGGCCTAATATTAATTGGATAAAAAGAGTCCGCGCTAAGTCCTCCTCTACTAGGTATAAAATCACTTTCTGAAAGTTAGTCACACAATGAACAGATGATCAATTTAAGGCAATTCATTAGAAAAGATTAATAGTAAAATATGACCCTCATAAAGACATTTTAATTAGTCAATAAGAGAACTGTTCTCAGCCTTTTCTGACTATAAATGTTCATCAATAATAGCCACTTTCTTTACAAAGTTCAAATTAAAAAAAAAAAATATATATATATACACATACATATATACACACATATATATGTATGTATTCTTCCTCTCTCCTATAAAAGCTGACTATTAAGACTGCAGTTTGTTTTATGCCTAGTAACTATTAGAATAGCGACTCAATGGCATCAAAAAACATAACATACTATGACAGGTTTGGAAACAGGAGTGGCATCCACTTCCTAAATAACATGCCTCTAGAAACTCTATGAACTTTGATAAATGTCGATAGTTGTAGAGGGGCTTCAAGCCTTTTGTTCGTATGGTCGTTATGAGTCATGCTTGACTCGAAGGCAATCAATAACAACAACTATTAGAATATAAACTCATTGCCATCAAGTCAAAACCAACTCATACCTTATCTTCAAGTAGATTTCCAGAGCCTATAAATCCCATGGGATTTGACTGCCTATCTTTCTCCCACTAAGCTGCTGGTAGGTTTCAACCATGTGAGAAGTTTTTCCAATAGGAGAGCAAAGACCTTTCCCAATCTTTTGTATAAGAGAGCTCTGGTCTCAGTGGTAGGGAGTGCCAACTTGAAGACAGGCAGTTCAAATCTACCAGCTGCTCAGAAGGAGAAAGGTGTCCGACCTCCTCCCATGCAATTTCCAGCCTCAGAACATAGGCTGGAAGGTAAATTATGTGGCAGTTCTAGCTTCATGGCACATAACAACAATTATCTTTCGTATAAATGTTGATATATGAGACGTTCATATCGGAGGACTTATCATTGAGATAGCTAGAAACAACTAGATAACTAATTTCAAAAACAATTTTTTTTCTACTATGTTTTAAAAAAAAGAAAGAAAACCATAGGGTGAAAACTGAATGGTCTACGCTTAGGTTCCCCTGGCATCTCTAATATGCCCTGCCACTAGAAAATTTAGCCCTAAAAACTAGAAAATGACAAATAATTCTAAAACAGAATGATAAACTTTGGACAATATTTACCCATAGAGAAAAAAAACTTATACATTTTCATGGCCTAAATAACATACTTGTTCAAAAATACCTTTCAATTCAAGTACAGAAAGACATACCTGATTGACAACTTCAAAATACACAGCCAATGTTGTGGTGGGACTGAGTCCACAGATCTTCCATTGACATGTGCCACCTGTTCCTATCTCCTATAAAAAGAAAACACTGTATATTTAAAAGATGCCAATGTCAGTGATTGCTACAATATATATATAAAGCTGGAAAAAGAAAAGAAAGCAACTCTAATTCCACTCAGAGAAAAAATTATAGGTTTCTAGCTAATTCAACAAATGTTAAAAGCTTAACATTTTTACAGACAATATCATAAATACATTATGAAATAGAATTAAGCACATTTTCTATAGTAAAATTTAAAAAAATTCTAATTCTTACTAAGCAAATTACAAAAATATTGATAGAAGTTCTTCATACTGTCATCTTTAAAAGTATACATTATTTAATGAAGTAATTACAACTAATATTATCCTTCTGCCCAATTATTTGATCTCTATAAAGACATACTGATTTAACACATAATACATGCACATATGAATGATTTGGGCAGTCTAATTCTCAAGAAAACTTCTTAGAGAAACATCATTACTAACCAAACTTATGAATTAATGTTTTAACTTTTTCATTTCTAAACTCACTTGGGTATGTCACACCATCTTCCTTACAGCTCTATGACAAAATGTTAGTGTGTACTGTACCTCCAGTAGATGGGATAAAGACAAAGAGAGGCACTGAAACTGAAATTTGACTATACTGTTGGAAATTCTGGTAACAAGTTTGGAATTAATTTTTACTTTCACAAGTCTGTAAGTTTCCAACTGACTATTTTGCTTTTCAGGAACAAAGACAAAAAATAATTTAGACATAAAAACTTCTAAGTCTGTTAACAGTGAAAAAAGGTTTTATGCAAGAGTATAAGGAAAAATGAGTTATTTAAGAAGAAAAAAAACTACACATAGAGGTATACTTCTGAAAGTTAAACCACACGCTACTAAAAACCTCAGCCCATATAATTTTGACAGGAATGCTATAAGCTAGCAACCCAGTTTTCTTGGTTTTTAGAGAACTAACTACATTTTCTAACTGGAATAAAACTAACTTACATTTTCAGACACACAGGGTCCTTTAGAATTGAGAGATACACAGGGTCCAATAGCTCCTGAAATCTTTATTTCCCTTGAGGTCTGTAAAATAAGAAGACAGTACACTCTGATTTGCTCCAAATAAGATCAAAGAGCAAGGGAAGAAGGTCACATTGTAATCTTGTAAATTAATCAATGGTACTCTATGCTAATAATTCTCAAATTTAAAAATCTAGCCCAGATCTAACTTTAATCCTACATGTTAGCTGCCTATAGAAGATCTCTATCTGGGGCTAGTCCACTTATAATCCATAGCCACCAAAATCTAAGCTATCATTACCTTCTATCTTAAAAAAAAATCAGTATACCAACCAGTTTTCAAGTACTGAAGAGCAACGACGTCAGGTTGGAGACTAAGGCGCGCCTGATAAAGGTTATAGTCTTCACAATTACGTGCTATGCATCAGAGAGTTGGACAGTGAACAGGGATGATAGAAAGAGAATTGATGCCTCTGAGCTGTGGTGCTGGAGAAGAGTGCTGAATATACCATGGACTGCTAGGAGAACAAGCAGGTTTGTCCTGAAGAAGGTGAAGCCAGAATGTTCCTTGGAGTCAAGGATTCTGAAGCGTCATCGGACATACTTTGGGCATGTTGCAAGGAGGGACCCTTGGAGAAGGGACATCATGATTGGTAGAGTGGAGGGGCAGCGAAGGAGAGGAAGACCTTCGATGAGATGGATCGATTCTATGAATGGAGTGGTGGGAATGAGTGTATTTGAGACGGCTAGGCTGGCACAGGATAGAACGGGTCACTATGAGTCGCAAGGGACCCAATGGCACATAACAACAACAACAACAACAACAACCAGTTTTCTTGAATTATTTTTTCTTATCTATCCTAAATATTTTTGTCAGATTTATCAGACCCAAAACAACAGTCTTCTGACTTTACACACAGCTCCAAGCTACATTCAAACCAGATAAAACTATTTCCTTTTTATCTCAATAGAAACAAACCACTTTCATTAAGTAGTTTTCCAACTCTAACTTCTGTATTCCTGTTCATCATAGTCTCCTGACCAAAATATATTCTCAGTCAGCTTAAATGCTGCTCTTTTAAAGCGCATAAGGCATACTTCCTCTAAGATAAACTAATTCTCCCACTTACATTCATTTTTCTTCTAACCCTTACAACTCAAAATTCATTGCTATCAAGTTAGAATCAACTCATTGCTGATCTTCCATTGGATTTTCAGAGGATTTTAGAACAAGACCTCACATCTTAAATGTCCCTTGAAATCACTTAATTCTCCTAACATAGTGCTGGACATACAGAAAAGATTCAATAAAATGAACAAGGGTGATAAGATTTAATTTTAAGTTACTGCTGAGCTAACTCTGCATCAAAGTGATATCATGGACAGTAATACACATATGACTAACACTAGCCCTCTGGGTTATTTAAAACATAAATTTTAAATGAATGACATAATTGTGTAACTTATCATCCATAAAACAATTACTTACTGAACAAATAGCACAAAAAAGATTCACCTTAGTCATTAAGAGTCCTGTGATTAAGAACGAAAATGGAACTTTTAAAAAAATGAACTATAAGCAAAAAAAGTAAGAGTTCAAGAAAAGCTTACCTATATGTCTTCTTTCCTAAGAAAATTTGTTATGTTACTGTTATGTGCCATCGAGTCATTTGCGACTCATAGCAACCCTATGTACAACAGCCCTAAACCCTGCTCTATCCTGTGCCAATCACACTGCCTCTGACACACCCATCCCGATTACCCCAGTCACTGA